AGAAGACTAAAACTCACTCTGTTTTTGAGCAGAACGAGAGAGGATATCTCCTGAGCTGCATCAACAACCTAACAGCTCCAGAACAACGCGAATTAGGCATCGTCTTTTGATTAGATCGACCTACGAATCTCTTCATCAAACACTTTTGTAGCAAATGAAAATCTCTCCAGCAATCTTTGAAATGTTCCGAGTCGAGGCTGGAACCCTTCAAGTAGCCCTTTCCTACAGGAGTGTATGCCCGACAAAGTGCGTTCTCCGAGGTCCTCCTGAAAACCAGATAAAACCAAGAACCTAACTACTCTGGTTAGCTTTAAGTGATTTGAGTACTGGTAGTTTAGGCTTTACCACCATAAGATGATTACACCTCGTTGTAGAAAAAACTCAACCTTTAGTCCTTAAGTCACCTTAGCGATCTAGGCTGACTAAATGTATTACTCAAGAATTCCTTTTAATCCACCTGTATCGAAAATAGATCAGTCTGAGTTTTAGCTTCCTTTCATATGGTACTTTGTGATAGGCCGTTGATCATTTTGAAGAGACTCCTTTACGTTCGTTTGGACAATTATTTATTTCAATGGCAAGTTTTACCCCCACCAATCCCATACAGATTTAATAATATAGCGCATCACATAAAGTGTTTGTCAGCTTCCACCTGGTTGTATGTTTTCATCTCTATCGCTCATGGAGATGGGAAAGTGAAGGCTTCATTTTTGTCTATGAAATGAGGGAAGTGTAAGTAGGCTAGAACAAGTCTGTAAAGAATATGTTTAAGTTATTATAAAATAGCTCTTCCACATGGGACGAGACTGAGGTGCGGTTTAGCCTAAAGGCAGTATCGAAGTGTACCTGAAAATTTGTTTATTCTGCCCGCTGAATAGAATGACGTTTGAAATGTGACAAGATACCAAAACTAATGGACTCGGCAATAAATAACTGATAGAATAACTTATTTGCTATGAACGCCTCATCTTATTTTCATTGGATCAAATATCAAGTTAATTAATTTATTTTAGTCCTCTGTTACCAGTAATTATGCCATGAAGCAGCCAGCATCAAATGAATATGGACAATTATTTGTGCATTAAAAGGCCTTTCTGAGAAGGACCAACGAATAAACTTTTTTAAGAAGATTGTGATAAACACTCTTGTTGAGCCTTCACTTCATTCCGACTATCTATGCCCAAGTGTGTACCATTTTTTCTATATATTTTGGCTTATAGAATTTTCGATCCCCTCTCTGGCACCTGAAGACACTCCGCTCACAGAATATCTCAAACAGCTTTACGCAGAAGCTGAGAAAGCCATTTTAGAGTTTGAGACGACCGAAACCGACTCTTTTGAGAGTCCCCTGCCTACTTCTCTCCATCCAACAAGAGCTAGACAAGGTCCTTCGTGGTGGCTGCTGAACAACACCGAACAGTTGGTTGCCATGCCTCTTTTGCCCGAAACCAAAGCTTTGGTCAGTTGGCTTCGTTCGCACCGCCCAAAGACGATTATATCCTTTCCGGGCCATCATTTACGAGGCTTGTCTTTTACATCTGGTAAGTGTAAACTGACTAAATTCCCATTCGTTTGCCCTCCATTTGACTATCTTTTGTGAAGTTGTCTAAATCTCGTTATATCATATAGACATTCCAGATTGTCAAGGATAATTTTACTCCTATTGTATCTGCTCTACACATAAAAAGCATAGCAAGGGGCATCACAAATTGCTTGTCACTAATGGCAATTTTTTACTCTATCACTTGAACCTTCTCTTTGCCTCGTCAGGGGCACATCCGCTACCAGTCCATGAAATACCATTTGGCCATTGGTTAGATGTAACTCGACCCTCGGCTTACTCCTACCAAATGAAGCCTCACCAACAATCCTCGCAATATTCCAAGTCGACGCTGGAACCTTTCTTGTAGCCCTTCCCCATATAAGTGTATGACGGACAAAGTACATGCCTCGAGGTCCCCCCGAAAGCTGGGCAAGGTTGGGAAAGCTAGATAAGACCAAGAACCTAGCGACTTTAGGTAAGTTTAAGTGATTTGAGAACTGGCAGTTTAGGTTTTACCACAACGAGATGATCAGACCTCGTGGAAAAAACTTAACTTCCAGCCCTTGAGTCACCCTGGCCATTTAGGCTGACTAAATGAATTAGTCAAGAGTTCCTGATAATCCACTTATATCTATAACAGATCAGTCTGCGTTTTACTTCTTCTCATATGTTAATTTAAGATAGGCCATTCGTCATGTAAAAGAGATTTCTTTGCGAGCTCACCTCCATTATCCATCTTACCTGGATCTCCTACCTTTAAAGCTACAGTCATCTTATTAACTTCAAAGTAGTCTGTTGATTTGGCCTCATTTTCATGAGTTGATTTTGTTTCCAGGGAACTTCCAGTCTGCGTCGCCTACCATTGTAATCATTTGTTTTTCTAAATCTTCATGCTAGCACGATTACATTGTGGAAATGAGACCAAGCCAACTCCATTCAGCAAATGATGACTGTGACAAATCTAAGGGCTACATCACTTTGGTCTTCATATCTACCATCTGACATGTCATGTTATATTATCATGTCTGCAAGAGTTCGTATCCTTCTACAAGTGAAAGGACATAAGAAGCTAGTCACTTTTTACCCTGTACAGAAGGTTTCCTCGAGAACTGCCTCAGCCTAAACTTCGCAGGAAAGTCCAATCAAAACAAGCCAAGGGAAATCTGTCATCGTCTTCTGATGAGATCAACCTACGAAACTTTTCATCACTGATCTTCATACAAGGCTAAAGTCAGCCCAGAAATGATATGTCACGATACTCATTCAAAAAGGTTTATTCTTCGTGTATGGTTATTTATTTGACGGGCGAAAGTCTTGTTGAATAAGACTGATGATCACTTCACAATTGTCGGTTAAAAGTACTTTTTTTATTAATGAATTGTTATTTATTTTCCAACCCGGTTCCATTCTTTTCTTTTTTCTAAATTTATTTAAATCACTCATGTTTATTCTTATTTGCCTCCTCGATGTGCTTGGTACTATTTAAATTTGATCGACTCTGTGATATTGGCAGGAAGATAAACCTTTGACTTTATGTAAATATTGGAGGTTATAATGGAACTTGGAATTATTGCCAAATCGTTAACAAAGAAACAACTTTAATTTTCACTAAGAAAGGAGGTACGTTCAAAGTTAGAGAATATAAATGCGCTTATAAATATGGTTCTGAATTGCTATTTCAGACACCAAAAGCTATTTATAGATGCTTAAAAGCCCATTAAGGCCATCAAAAGGCAATAGCTTAGTCAATGTTTGTCTGGACAAGAACCTTCTAATCTACGTCACAGTAAATGACCAGGTCACGATATTCCCTTAATGCGGTTCTTTTTTTCCTCATCTTCTTTTTCATGCGTGTTCAGACCCACTCGAGACTGCCTACGGTCGTCTGCTGAGTTGGCGAACCAACACTTGGCTACAGAATCTCGCCTACCTCATTGTCCCAGAACTGCTCCTCTTTAGCAGTCTCTGCTCTCCACCACTTTGGCAACTTGACAACTCGTTTCCTTTTATGGATGACGCTAAAGTGAATTCCAAAGGGCTGAACCAATCGAAGACCTTGTAGGCATATGAGCATTATTTACTCTTCATCTAGGACCAAAATCATCATTTTTTATAATTACTGTATTGCCATTTCTTTGTCCTTCTTTTTGCACTTTATTACTTTGCTTCATGTGATCGGATAGTTCTACTTTTCCTTAACCTGTCGACGACCCCCTATACACAATCGTACGCAAAAAAGCAAATAAGGATAGAAACTAAAAGTCTCGGTTTGAAACAAATGAGCCCTCCTAATATGACTGGGATGTCTTTCTCAAACAAAGAGTCTT